GTCTTGCTCATTTGCATCTGTATACCTCCCTCCACAGGTGGTTGCCCATGTAATCTTGCTAAAAACTTCCCCCACTACCTCCACCCAAGCAATGCACTCCCAATGGCCCACTACTCGATGTCGGGGGGTCTCCGTCCGCTGAGATCCGGTCCTGGTCAGCCCTGAACGTCAGCATGGTATAGGAGCTTCATCCTGTTCATCCTCCATGCACCTTTTTGTTTTTATCACCGTTGTGTTTAATTTGAAATTCTTAAGTCTGCACTGATAAATTGGCAACAAATGATCAATTATTCAATGAACATAAATAAATGGAAACTCATTTTTGCAATCAAATATCTATTTAAATATATTTTTTTCTACAAAAAACAGAAAATATCTACTGGAATCGGTGCTACAACTGTAAGATGTTTCTTCTTATCTTTGTTTAATCTCAATACAAACTTAATACAAAATTAAACTGGGAATTTAGAGCTGAAACAATTAGTTCTACAACAGAAAGAGAAAGAGGAGTGGAAGAGGAAGAAGAATTAATTACAAAAATAATCGGAGATAAATTATTTGATTACATGACTTAAGCTTTTAGAATTGTTTTCTGTAAATCACAGTATATTAATTAGAAAAGCTGTGTCGTCTTAATGTAACCAAATCAACCTTCAGGGAGTACACTTACTTTAACCCTGGTCACAGAACTACCTAATTTGCATACTAAACTATGGGATATTTCGAAATTTGTGTAGAATTTGCTTGACAGATGGAGGCACATGCAGCAGGTGTGTCAGGGACCAACATGACAACAGTTGCCATGTAATAATGCAGCTGATGTGAAACAGTAACTGGAGCTCACTGTGGCACAAAACCATCTCAGACACGTTACAATGAAACCACATTTTTAATTCATGGCTGGCCTCTGACCCTGCAGGCAACAGGACACCCTTACTGCACCACCCCAACATGTAATAGGGCCATCCCACAATGCATCACTCACCGAAATACCTCACATTCATTGTTGTTGGTTCATTCAGGACATACATCATTCATCTGTCCATCAGCTCTGTCATTCATTCATTTAGCAAGCTTAGATATTTACAGCGGAGTAGAAACACATCTGAACAGCTGCAATGATTGGTCAATTAACTGATTAACTGAAAAATTGTCATTTTGTGTGCAACTTATCCACATTTCAGATCAATCACAAAAAGAATCAACATACCAATCAATAATAAAGACATATTAGAGTTTGTGAAACTAACCCCATGACCTCACTGTGAATACCTTGAAATAACACAGAAAAAGCACTAGATCATGTACATATTTTTCTGCACATTGCCTCTACTGTTTGGCACCTCTGGTCAACAAGTTTGAGCCTTAATTCCAGTTCATTATAACAGTCTAGCTTGCAGCTCGAACCTCATGGTGGTTTAACAACACTCTCACGCAGCCCATGTGTATTCACACTTGCAGATAAGATCAGCATAGGCTGTTATTCTAGCAAGCAACTGATACCCGACAGCTCTTGTCTTTTTCACCCCACCTTTATGACACCGAATAGAGTGCAAACTGTATGTAAATTAAACTAGTCTGTGTGCTTATTCCTGACACCCTCTCTGTCTCTTTCTTGACAAACGAGAGAATCTCTGTGATCCCCTGACTCATCAGTTTGAGAGAAACCAATTCCCTCTGCCAGTATCAAGGATTCATTTGCATGCAGCTTTGTTTTCAGCCGTTGGATTGCCCTGGGGGGAGCAGGTGGTAGAGATGGAAAACTTTTGCATCATACAGAGTTGAGATTCTCAGTCTGATCCATAAAGCATGTCAGAAACTCGCAGACTAGAAAGTCTTCAGGCAAAACTTCTGTGAGCCAAGGTGAAAACAGCTCAAAAAAGTCTTGGGGATAAGAAAGATGTATATTAAATCTTAGAAAAGACATTTCAGTGTCCATTTGTGAAGTTTAATTGGCAGTGACATTGCAGTGTTGCAGTCTGGCTGACATTATGTGTCATTTCTTATTAGTAAGAAATGGTAAAGCATGCTGGTATTTGTGTATATAAACTGTTAAAACACACTACAATTATCACGATGTAGTTTACACAGTATGCTACAGAATGTAGATTCATTTCATTCAGTGGGGAACACAGCTTTAGACTGTAGTGTAGGCTAAGCCCCTTAAAACACTGGACACTGCAATTCCCATAATGCAACTGAACAGCACATTAAATTAGATCTTCTTAATGCTCGCTGCTTATAAACTCCACACCTTCCATTCGAAACAGAAATCCACACAAAAATTAGCCTGATCTCTGGGAAGGTTTTACATTTTCCACAATTTATCAACCACAGATTTCTTCCACAATTTTTTCTACAGTATCAGCAAGATTCTTAATCTTAGAAGATAAGGCTGGCAATACAGCTTAAAGGATTAGTTCATCTGCATTAATGGACTACACAAATTTCGAAGCAAAAATGCCAAGCATTCACTTGTGATTCCTACACAAATGTCAAGATTTACATTTTTTTTTTTTTAAATTAAACAAATTAAATATTTTTAGTTTTTGGACTTGTACAAATGCAAAACAAGCAATTAGAATATGTCACCTTGGGCTGTGGCAAACTGCCAGGAGCTATTTTAATATTTTGTGACCCTTAATAGTACAAAAAAATGTTCAAAACAATCTGAAGATTTATCAGTTTATCTATATTTTCCTTACTGCCATTATATCCCCAAAAAGATAAAAACAAATGACAAATAAGTCCTTCTCGTTTTAAACATCAGCAGCCTTTAGTCATGAATATATAGTCTCCATTAAGTTTGAAGATAGTTTCAGCCAAGATTAGTCAACAGATGTAAATGCAGCATTTATAGAGGACTTTAACAAGCTGTGGAGGAATCAGCATTTAGTGCACTGATGAGTGCAACAAGCAACTGGATGTATACAAGTGTGTATAAAAAAAACTGACTCAAAATAAACTACAGAGCCCATGTTCACTGTAACATACCACCCAGTGCACCAGTGTGACTCACTGTTTTTTATAGTTTATACACAACAACAGAGCTCTGTGACTTAGAGGAATTCTCAAGCTTTGGCCTCACACACAATACTTTTTATTAGTGGAATCAATTAATTGTAAGTTTTGGTCTTTTATTGTTTTTCTTGTTGACAGTAAGAAAACCTTCATATATAATCTGACTTCTCCTTCAAGAAAAGTGCTACATAGTTTTCGGTGATTCAGTGAATTTTCTTAATTTAGATCAGCACCCGCCCAAGAACCCAAATACCATCATAATACACAGTCATAAACACACCCACACACACACACACACAGTCACTTGTGCTGGTTAGTGACACGATGCTGCATAAGCATGCTGTGCAAAGGAATGTAGTTTAGAGAAGGGAAAGTACTCACAGCACAACAGTGGGTGAATTGCTGTCTTTGAGAGAGAACAACAGACAGATACAGAGACAGAGATCGGAACAGCATGTGTTTAATTAAACAGCACCCAATACTGTGTAACATAATATTAAAGCCTGAAGAGTCCAAACTAACACAGACTTTGATCAAATTCTGCTCATGCCATTTCCCGCTGGTGGATGAGCCTCATATTTTTGCCTCATTCTTTACTACTGGCACACTTCCCTCACTGTCTCACCCAATGGACTGATCTCCAGATGGGGATCTGGCAGCTGATGGAGTTATGTGGAATGGACATAACTGTATGCAGTGGTTACTTGAAGCATAAATGATTTAAATAGATTCTTAAAAAATCTGCTGTCTGCTAAAACATCCACGATATAAAGCCTTGTGTTTATAGCTGTGCTGTGTTTGTTAATGATTCTGCAAAATGAGGATGAGTCTTAATTTACTTCTTACTACAAAGCCCAGGTCTCAAATTGTGAGGATGGAAAGGAAGAAATCTGATGCAAAGGTACTGCCTGAGGTGGCAGGCGAGGTGAAGTTAGTAGGTGTAGCTTGGCTCGCTGACCTGGCCTGCTCACCTACATGCTCAGCAGTTGGATTAGCAGCATCACCTCATGGAGGCAGTTGAGGTCGTAACTAACACAACACACTGAGGTGACACATGTGTGACAACAGGGGTGTCATGGCTTCAGTCGGTTTAGGGTGAGACTTCCTTGGTTTGAATTAGACAGTGCTTTAAACTATTTCTTTATACCATTCTATATCTATGTGACAGATGTTTAACATTTCCTCATCTCCAACATTTATCACAAGGGGTTACAGTCAACCAGAGAAAGTCTTGATCAAGTTAACTAATCAATTGATCCGAGGGAAAAAAATTTTTTTCTGTAGATGAACTAAATGGGCCACAGTACAATGAGGTCCCTCTACCTGCTAACCGCTGCTGATTGTCCGACCAATGAGAAGTTGGTCAGATGAGAGCATATCGACCAACCAATGGACCTAAAGCCTCCCGCCATACCTTGAACACCCTTAGCTCAGGAATTAAACACAAAAGATTCTCCTTCTTACTCTACAGCCTGACTAACAGTCATTGCATTTTTACGGTTTCTTTGTTATCAAAACTGTTGTGTACATTCATGAGTATATGACAAACAGCAACTGCTTTGTGCCAACCAACATCGGTTAAAAACCAGCACTTAAGATGAAGCCCTCTGTTGAAAGGGCTTGTTGTCTCAATTTAGTATGAGGCCCACAATCTCAGACTTTGAAAACCTCTTCAAGAGAGTAAACTACTGAATGTCTATTATATAGGGAGTAATGAAAGAGCAAGAAAGGGAGTGATTTCAGACAAATGCAAAGAGTCAAACTTTGTTTCGTGGTGGAAGCAATTTTCTTCGTTGGCTGTAAATTCTACCATATTGTAACAATTTTGTAATTTGAACAGGCCTTTTAGAAACACCTACGATAATGGAAAGCAGCACATTAAACACCCACAGATAATGATAGCAGCAGTGGGCTAGTACATCAGCAAAGAAAGCAGTGGGCAGTGTTTTATTATATCTTGGTAATATTAATAACTGTAGCCAACTTTAGTAACTTCCTGTCTGGTTTAGGTGGTTGGTTTGGTACTTGTTCAACTCTCTGAATCTCAAAACCCACTGCCAGGTTTAAAAAAAAAAAAAAAACTACGTAGGCTTTACAAAATCATTTGTCAGAGCTAGAAGCAAAAACCAGGGAGTGTTGTTGGATTTTTAACCTTCCAACAGTACATCAACTAATCATGTGTGACTTCCAGTTCCATTGGAAACGTTAATTAAATCTAACCTTTAAAAAAAAAATCACTTTATTTTACTAAATTTGTCAAAAAAGAAAATAAATTGCTAGCTCTAACCAGTTCCTGTGAAAAACTAAAATTTCTCGTTAAGCCATCAGTGATTCTGGTACAACTGACTTTCATTTTACAACAATTAGTAAATAAAAAAATAGTAAAATATCTAGTAGGGCTGGTCCGAATAGCAACTTCTATTCTCCGGATATTCTGTCCAATTAATGACGAATATCCCGAATGTTTGGGGGGGGGGAGCGCGCACGCATAGGCAACATATGGCTACTAAGACCAGTTTAGGTGTTTAGGTCAGCAGTCACAGTACTGTTTTAGTGGCGGTGGAGAGGAGCTGAGCATTCGGACCGACGGGGCAGGAGTGAGCAGGCATTTCTGCCATCAGTGGTCACAGTACTATATCCGCCAACAGCGTCATCAGCGGTCAAATTGCTATCCCGATACCAGCACAGCAAACGAATAGTTGACTATTCGGGTCCAGCCCTAATATCTAGTCACCGTTTTAGTCAACGCTGTGGGCACTAGGAAAAATTTACATGTTGACAGAAGTTTTCTTTTTTCCCCAATTTATGTTAAATTAATTTCCATAGGGGTGCAGGACTTCATATTGCAGCGAAAAATGAGCCCAGTGAGAGTAACATTGTGACAGTAACAGAAAACACACAGAACTTGCAGTTCAGAGGGTTACTGTAACGTGGACTCTCATACTATCAGATGTATATATTTTGATGTTCTATTTTAATGGTATCAAATGCATTTACTTAAAAGTTTCTTGTATGTCACTTCTTCCTGCTGGGCTTTGAAGTGTACAGGACACAAGCGGGACTCTGACCTATTGACCAAACCAGGCATGTGTTTACACTGAATCCAGCTCTGTGAAGGCCGTGAGACAGTAGAGATTAGTCTGCGGATTTACCACTTTTTCAAGCCTCTAATGAAGAAAAGCAACAAAGAGAGTGGAGAACGAGTGTGGAAAACAGAAGAGTGTGCTGAGGCTGCAGAATTACTGAGTGGTTTAGTGGCTGCTGTAATAATACTTATGCTGGTTGTTAAGCTGCTCTGGGCGGGGGAAAAGCCTCTCTGGCTGATCCTCTGCCCTCCACAGACCCTGGATGCAAAGCTAAAGACCGGCTACTACACCATCATCACCACCAGCACCAATACAAACAGCAGCTAATGTTAATGTGGGCTTAGGAGGGGAGGCTCAACAGAAGACATTACCATACAGTGGTTCAAGGGTCGTTTCCCAGCACTACCAAACCACAAAAACAGCACGGTAGCTGGTTGAGAGTTAAGAGGGGCAGTCTGACGTTGGTCAAAGAGTGTTTCAGGACAGACCAGTTAGCCGGCTACAGTGAGAGCTAAACCTACTTATATCAAGCCCTAAAACAGATGGTATTTGTATCTGTGTGCTTGTGTGTATTACCTTAATCTGCTGTCTACGCAACATTGCCAGTTCCCTCATGTCCCTGAAGGGCTGAAGCAGGTAGTGGTAAAGCTGAGTTGTTGCCTCCAGCAGCTCTCCATACGCCTCGTCCTCCTCGGGGTACACCTGCAGCAGCTCCACCATGCTGTCCAAAGCTTTGTGCTTGTCCAACACCTGGGATAAATCAGACAGAATAAAAATATGGAACTGGAGTTTAGCACAGAAACATGGTTCACTTTAATATTAATGTGATTTTTGATTTTTTTAATTCTTTTTTTTTTTTTCAACAAATCCCATGAAAAGGCCAAAATAAAGTCTCAGGCTGTCTCTTAATACTGCTAAGCTTCTCTGACCTCAGCACCAAGCCTTATCATTTCCACTGCAGACCTGAATCTTAAAAATGAGTCACAAATAATAGCTTTGTTTTTAAAAGGGCTTCGTAATTGTATTAAACAGCTGGGCACTGCAGTCAACCAAACAGATGAGCAACTGCTTTGATAAATAGTTCAACTCAGTTTTATTCTTATAACACAAATTCATAACATGTCATCTAAAGGGACTTCCCATAAGAAGGTAAAGCCCTTAAAAACTTTACAACTTTAGACTAAGAACCTCAACAAATCACTCAAGACCACTGGCTCCAGTTTCTTAAAATGTGACTTGATAGTTTTCTAAGTCTTATCAGATTAGAAAGATTAATTCAGAATCTAATCAGCAGATTAATCAGTAATAAAAATAACCATTATTTTATACATAATACCTAACCTGTACTTGTTAAAACCTATTTCAGCTGTGTATACAGTGTTCATGTTAGTGCTAACAGCACCAAGAGGGCAACAGTGTTTGTTTATAGGCACATTTGTATCCTGGTTTTGAGTCTTATTCTGGATATGGCATTTACATGGGGCATGAGAAACCTGTTTTTTCACATCCCTGTTTACATAGTCCTTACAGGATTCTGATACCGTGTGCAGTTGTGTCTTGATTTCTCACCATCTCAGCCACTATGTTTTTAGATAGCAAAGCACGTCCAGAAACCTGCATAAAGTGCTTACATGTCACTGTATACTGGTTTCAGTAAGAGTATTCTAAGTAGCCGAGGATTCTTCAAACCCAGCTTTTTGAAACCAGGATAAATGACAGTACATAAAAACATGGCACATCCAAAAATCCAACCATCACCAGGGTAAATGTTTTCTGGTAGAGATGCACATTATCAGTATCAGCTAATAAAGGCTTTAAAATGAAATATGAGCCATGGCCCAAAATGAATATTTTACAGACCGCTAACATGTTTCAAGCAACAAGTTTATGGCTTAGTTTGAACATGTTAGACAAAAATAAAAATGGCATATTTTATATGTGACTAAATGCTACCCAGTGAATGGCTTTGTTTAAAAAGCGGGCCATTATGTTACAAGTATGCATAATAAATGATAATTCCACTGGAGGAGAGATCTGCAGTTTTCTGCAATTAGCTGGAGAAAATATGTGCTTATATCAGAATCAGCATTCAGGCAAAATGAGTCGGAAAACACTGGCATGTTGGACATTTGCAAAAATCCACCATCATACTCTTAGAGTTTCTAGACAACAGAGTTCGGAGCTACACAGAGAGATGTTTGAAGGATAAATCCATTGTTGGTCTTTTCATGAAAATTGCTGACATTAAGATATACAAACAATATGGCCAGACTCATATGATCTCCTGGGGAAATAGAGGTAAATTTTGATTATTTTGCAAGTTAGCACATTTTGTACATGGTTAGTTGGTTTGTAAAGCAAGTAACAACAAAATGAATAGAAAGATTGTCATTTTTAACTAACTAAAGGCATAAAATAACAAAACAACAAGGAGCATTTAGGCAAGAAATAAAAGTGGCGCAACAACATAGTGTTGTACAAATAATACTTTGCAGTGGAAAAAAAAAAAAAAAAAAAAGCAGAAGGCTAAACGATTCTGGATGAGGAAATGGTTGGGGTGGTGCAGTCAATTTTGTTATCTATAGCTAACGCTAAAAAGTTTTAAGGGTGAGAACATGCGGTAGTGTGATAATCGTAATCATCACGATATTAGTGGAGTGTCCCCGATAAGTCTTCGAGCAGTTCAGGATGTTTCAGACAGGATCTGTAAACACCCCACATAAACAAATAACCTGGGCCGAACATTGATTCAGACCACGATCCCAGACCAGATTGCTCCTCTGATTGTCAGGAGGGCTGAAATGGGTGTTAATCAGCCTGAAACTCCTGCAGTGCTAGCCCTGCTTTAGGGAATATTCAGTTTGCTGGCTCTCTGTCAGGGCTTACTGGAACAGAGTCATCATTAGTAACGCCACCTTTGTTGTTTGTTGTGCGAAACGTCAAAATGTGGGCTGTGAAGAGGACTTACTTTGTAGCAAATTTCATGACAAAATAACCTTTGATATCCTGCTAGAAAACATTGTCACAGTAATTTCAGTATCCACAGAAAACGACCAAGGCTGCAGTGCTAGCATCGCTGATTAAATTGTAAAACTGGATTTCAGTGTGTATTGGGTCTAGTTCTGGATGCTTCATGATTACAGTTAGTTCTAAACAAAAGCTCCTTTAAAGCTCCAAGAAGAAAAACTCCAAGCAAGTATAAAATGTGAGAGAGTCTCCATGTGCACGTGCAAGTGCAGGCACACTAGTGTGTGGTCAGGAATGATACTATAAAATACATTGTTTGAATGTAGTACAAGGAGAATAAATTGGCCCCAACTGTTGCTGATTCATACCATATGTCCAACTATCCACAGACTGTTCATTGTTCCGGAGATAAGCGCCACTAAAACAGCTATTGTTCGCAGAAAATACAATTCATCTCCCAGCTCTCAGAAACCAGCAGCTCTGATTCAAACAGCACAATGCTACTCCTTCACTTCTGCCTCAGATAATATTGAAATGTACCACCACCCGATCGTCATCCAAAGGGGTGAATAAAGTGCTCTTCTCTCTGCAGAGAGCGATAGATATGAATAGAGACTCTTATATTAACTCTGGGCTGCTTTTCCAAAGCCCTCCACGTTGGGAACTGTGGTGGACACTACGCGATTCAGCTCCAACACTGCTCCTACTGTTTACCTTGGCTCTGAGTCTCCCTGGCAACCACTGGCAGACCGAACACCCCCTGTAGTCGCTGGTAGCTAGGAAAACCCCAAGGCTGAATGATCCAACTCCTGTCTGGGTACGAGCTGGGCCAAGCAACTCAAGATTCAAACTCATTTTTAGTTTTCAGATGCAAGTACAGGAGGATATTAGAATAAATCTCAGAGGTCAGACAGTGTAACATTCTCACTTCCTGCTGTATTATTATTTACATAGTCAAATCTATTCATTGGGGATAGTTTCAAAAGTGTAAGAAGCCAGAGAGCTGCTGCGTCTGCATTTCAAAGGCAGCAGAATTACCTGCCCTAATTAGCGGTGAGACAATAGGCTGATTAATCAATTAGTCAATCCACAGACAATGTATGTGCAGCTATTTTGGTAATTGATTAATCTTCTCAGACACAGTTAAGATAAACATTCTCAAGTGTGAGGATCTGTTGCTTCTCTTTGCCAGAAGTGACAGCAAACTGGATCCTGTAGTGCCGCTACACTTCATTTAGATCAGGTTTTAGGTTTAGCTTGAAGACGTTTCGCCTTCATCTAAGAAGCTTCTTCAGTTCTACCAGACTGGTGGCAAGTCCCAGGTGTTTATTCTCACCCCCAATCCACATGACAACCTACAGTTCTCAAGGCTTGTTAACAACCCGAAACTCACATGACTCAAGGTGTGAATGATAATGAAACTGCCTGGGGAGGGATATCAGGACCGGATTATAAGAGGCTGAAAAGTGGTGCTGAAGTCACCAGTTTACAGTCAAAAAGCACCATCCAGCCTTTTCTAATCTATTTTTTTGTGTGTTTTTATTGTTGTCCTGTGACTTGTGGCTTATGGTTTTCAATAGCACAAGTGTAAAAGCAGTAAAAAAAAGTCTGATCTGTTTCACTTATTTACATTAGTGTTGTTGATAAAACATCAACATCATTTTCTGGGGATGCATATAACAATAATTTAATGTTCACTGTCTCACTTATCCAACCTAATGGAAAGTTGTTTGGTTGTTTGCTTAAAAGTGTGAGAACTTGAAAATGTCACTGTTTCAGTCAAATGCCTCAAAAGAACAATCTCCAAGTTTATTGTACTTAGCCTTTGATTGTTTGAAGCCTTTGTAGGGGCGTGATCTGGATTACAATCTGCAATGGAATTTTTCCAAAATGACTTAGATTGTCGTCTTTGTGTTACTTGCAATGTTTTTGATATGAATAGTATATGTTAATAATTCTTTCACTATTGGCTAAGAAATGTATATTACTGCGGTGGTTCGACTCACATGTTCTAAAAGTTGAGAAGTTGATATCACAGATGTCAACTCTTCTCCAACTGGAGAAAGTCACTCATGATCTGAATCATAAATTGAACAAATTTCGATTTTGGAAACCTTCAACTCCGCTGAAATCAATGCAGTTTATCCATGGAAAGCAGTTACCGACTGCTTCTCTGTAACTCCTATTTATTTTCTTTATTTATTCCTGTCCTAATTTTTTCAGTTCTTTACATTGCAGCACTTGCTGGCAGCTAGTTTGGGGAAGGACTTTTCTGGTTTGCATGTCTTTATTAGTTATTTACAAGTGTTTGTCTTAAAACCTGTTGAGAATCAATAAAAAATATGAAAAGAACACAGGTTTTCATATGCTAAGTTTAGCTGTTAAGTCTACAGAAAGCCGTCCAGTGTTCACTGAGAACATAATTACAGGACATTCCTGGTGATATGAGCTATAGTGCAGCCGCTCCAGGCCTATCATCAGGACCAACTCTTGACGGTGCTAAATCTGCTCGGTCTTGCTGAACTAGTTTTCCCTCTGCCTTTTAATTGAGATATCAGGCAGGAAGAACACGCCTTGACTGTGATCTGAGAGGACACTCCGTTTAACAGCACTTTTCAAAGTGGATTCTATTCAGTAGCTGTAAAACGAGTCTACCACCCATGATTCAACACAACTACCACGAAATCCTTTAGACAATGTGGGTTGTCTTGTTCTTTTCAGGGTTCACTTCATTTCAAATCTCTAAAATTTCACTTGACTAGTAAGACAAACATATTTACAGC